TGTATTTTACAGCAGGCCAAATTAATAGCAGGATATTTTGCAGTATCTCCTTCCCTTCTTGATCATTGTCTTCCAAATACTCAATACATTCCTCATTCTGTGTGTGTGTGTGTGTGTGTGTGTGTGTGTGTGCACCACACATAGACAAGAGGCATAAATTGTGTCTCTGTGTGTGAGAAAATATGAGCGGGTTTTCATGTAGAACAGAAAGATTTTTTTTTTTTTTTTGTTGTGGTTTGTTTCGATCCGGCCTCTGCTCATATTTCTCCAAACTGGACATAATGATTAAGATGGTAAAGAGATACTGCACATTCTTTGGTGAGATAATACAAACATTGGTGGAGGCTTGAAGTTTTAGTATAAACTGCACGATTATTAAGATTTATGGGCCTGCGTTTAAGGCCTGATTTGTTTTTCTTTGTTCGTTTTCCTCCTTTAGTGAAAGTGTAAATTCAAGCTAAACCTGCAACATTTGCATATAAATGTATTGGCTATAATTACCGTAAAAACACACAGGATTACTGAAGGAGAACGTAGTGGTTTTTATATTCCAGTTGCCCCGTTTCCTCTTATCATGTCTGCTCTTCTGTTTCAATACTAAAACGGCCTTCTCCTCTCATGTTGTGTGTCCTTCCCCTGTGCTTCCTTCTAGTGACCTACAGAGAGACAAGTATGGGAGTCAAACTTAACTTTGCCTATCAAATGTAAATTTTTTTCAGCATGCTTATTAAAAACCAACCCAAACCCTGGCACAGTCACTGATTTACTTTAGCTCCATTCACTCGCACTCAGTGAGCAAGAGGTTCACCACCAGCTCCAATCAGAAACCAGTTCTGTTTTTTTTTTTTTTTTGAGTCACGTCTGAGATTTTGACAGCCTCAAAGCGAACGCCCGTTACTTTGCTTCTCTCTGAGTCTTTGCCTGATTTGTGATTCTAACAGAGCGACACGTGTTGTTTCTTTTTATTCTCTGGATGAAAAGAGCATTTATCAGAGAGGTGTATTTTTCTGGCCTTTTTTTTTTATTTTTTTTTTTCCTCCTGTTCTCCTGTGGCTCTCCTCAGCCTCAGAGTCCCGTCACACCTTTTCTAACAACACCTGTCTGGAATCTAAATTCTCTGCTGTTTAGAAAAAGAACTAACAGAACATGGGTGTCATGGCATCAGCTGATCTATTTTTGTTTTTGTCTGGTTCTCTCTCAGTTGTAATGTTTTTTTTTTTTTGTTTTTTTCATAATTCTGCTGATTTAACACCAGCTTCACTGGAACTTCAACTTCAATCTTCAATCTTCATTTTGCTTCACTGGAACTTCAACTTCAATCTTTGTTTCCTCTCACATGATTTAAACCTTCCTCTCCTTCTCTTGCTGTTTGCCGTGACCTCCGTGCTCTGTGAATTCCTAACATGACCCAGTCTGACCCGTGCAGCGGCCGTGTTATTCTCTCTCTCTCTGGAAACTGTCACTCTGACGGACGTCAAGTCCTGGGCCGCGGGCGATCAGAGACCTTTGACAGAGAAGCTGTGCGAAGGCTGCCAGCGATGTTTAGAAAGTGCGCAGATATTAGAGAGAATATCTGCGTCACAGCGTCGACACGAGAGTGAAAAAGTCAAGAACGGGTTTTTAAAAAAAACAAACAAAAATAAAGCTGTTGAACGCTTGTTTATTTCATTTGCTGAACCCTTGCTCTTGCTAAGTTTTTAATTTGGGTTTGTTGTTGTTTCTCCTTTTTGTTCCCAGTGATTCTTCTTCATATTACACTAAATCATTTTTTACTTTCTTTTGTACATCAGCTGCTCTTAGACCAGATAGCCTGAGCAGACAGGCATGATGTGAGTTGTCCTCAGTCAGTCTTTTCACCTGCTGTGTGTGGTGATGGTGGAGTGCTGCTTGTGGGCTCCCCGTTTGTAGTGAGAACAACAATGGCTGTCTCATGTCCACACTCCACTCCATCTCCCTTTTTTTCTTCTTCTTTTCTTTTCTTTTTGACCACGTAAATGCTTTCCTCCATCCCTGTCCTTTCGTTTCCGTTGGCACAGTCGTCCTGTTGGTTGCTAGAAATCTGAGTGTCGTAGCTTTGCCCGTCTGTGGCTCCATCCCTGTGGACATCTCCTTTTGCCCCCTGCGTGTTGTGTTGGTGATTAATGTGTGAGTCACGTGATCTTAATGTTGTTTGGGATCTTTTTCATTGCATTGTCACTTCTGTGGCAGACTAAAGTGCACAACGCTCGGCTTATTTACAAGCAACGACCGCTCCAGAAAAAGTCGAACTCCAACACCGACTATTACTAATTATTGATTAACAATAATGCATGCCTTTATATTGTATGTCCAAGACTAACAAATCAATGGCATGGCTTCATTGGAATTTGACTCAGTCCTCTGTGAAACAGCATCCTGAATGGCATTAAAACCTAGCTTTCTGGTGGCGGCCTGGTTGGTACCGACTAACGTAAACTCCTCGTTCGTGTTCCCTCTCTTCGCAGGGCACTCACTGAACAAAGCGGTGAGGGACACAAGTGCAATGGATACACTACCGCTAAATGGTAACTTTAACAATAGCTACTCGCTCCGCAACGGGAACTTTGGTGACAGCGTGCAGGTAGTGGACTGCGGCCTCAGTCTGGACGACGCTGCCTTTGAGAAAATGATCATCTCCGAGCTAGTACACAACAACCTGCGTGCCTGTAACAAAAGTATCCAACAACAGCAGCAGCAGCAGCAGCATCATCTTCATCACAGTTTACATCACCCACCCAACCACCAGCACCAGCAGCCTCCACAGTACCACCATCACCACCACGTGGAGCGGGCTCCGCCCAAGGTGACGGTGATCGGAGGCGGCGAGGATGGCGCCATCGTGGCCGACGCTTCGTCTCTGGCGCGAATGAGCAACACCGTCGGTCTGAAGGTGCACCATCAGCAGGAGCTGGAGGCACCGCTCATCCCCCAGCGAACTCACTCCCTTCTGTACACACCCCAGAAGAAAGTGAGGACTGACGGGGGAGTGGACAGCTTTGTCAGCCAGCTGACGCCCTCTAACCCCGATGACAGTCTACAGTCGCCCAACAGAGACTCCTTGTACACCAGTATGCCCGATCTTAGGGACTCGCCGTGTGCGGAGAGCAGCCCTGACGTAGTGGAGGACGTGTCCTCCTCGAAGAGCGAGAGCGAGGACATTTACTACAAGAGCATGCCTAACCTCGGCTCCGGACACCAGCTCCAGGCCTACTACCAGATAGGCCGAGGGGGCAGCGACGGCTACATTCTACCTGTCACTAAAGAGGGCTGCAGCCCTGAGGGCGACGTACGGGAAGGACAGATGCAGTTAGTGACGAGCCTTTAAATGTATTTAAATCATCCCGAGCCTCCTGCTGCAGCCCTCCTCCTCCTGAAGGACACGGAGGAGAGGGGAGAAAAGGAGGCGCAGGGAAAAGTTTGCTTTCATGATCGTAGAAAAGCTTAGAAGCCCAGTCACTCACGTCAGCCACAGTCACAGCCCCCCCCACCACCGCCCCCCCACCCTCACCTGCATCGCCATCTCCTTTTGCCCTCTTCCAAAACTTCCTTGGCGATGAAACAGACTCGGTGCACACTGATGGGAATCATTAAAGAGACTGTATATAAAATGCAGAGTCAGACTTCACTTTTGAGAGACAAGCCAACTATGTATTTAAATGTGCTGCTGCTGTGGAAACATTTACCGTCAGAAAAATTAAGAAAAAAAAATCTATATAAAAGTACAAAAAAAACACACACACACACACACTATCAGCAACCCCCCGGTCAACAGGCTGTAGATACACTCTCTCATCAACCTGTTTTTAATTTAAATGTACCAACGAGCCTGGGCCAGGACCTGGACAATGACCACGAAAAGTATTCCTGGTCGGACTGTTGTGTTGAAGGAATACAGAGTCCTGGTTTTCCAGAGTCGTTCCCATAGAGTCTGGATTGTATAACCACTAGCAATCAAGCCCCTGGCCTTATATTTTCTCAACTGTACATTGAACTGTTGTCAATAAAAATGGCTCAAATATATATTTTGTTGTATTGCTAGTGTAAAATAAAAATCAATGGGGAGCATTAATATGAACAAACCTTTTAATTGAATTTTTTTTTTAATATTTGAGAGACTATTGTGTAGAGGTTGCACATATGCTATACAGTGTGTTTATGGTTCCACCACTTCATCTATGGTAGTATGTTTGAACGTTAACGCTTGTGAGAAGACGGGAGGATTTACTGCGGAATTACTAGGACGCATAACCACTCCCTTCAAAGTGTGAACAGTGTTTTTGCTCAGTGAGTTCAGTGGTGCCCTCATCCTTTGCAATATGTTTATTCAGCATTACTTTAGTAGGTCGAGGATGCAAAGAATCCTGGGTGGTGATGTAACGATTGCACAATTCTTGAGGTTTTTTTTTTTTTTTTTTTTTGGTGTCATTTTGAATGAAATAGAGCTTTTTAACAGTCACCGCTGAGTGACGGGCAAGTTTCTATCATAAATGTAGTTCTTCTGTCTGGTTTTTGACATTTTATTTATTAAAAATCTTTTGAAACGATGTGTGTGAGTGTTTTCCAGCACTGTACTGTAGCTCATGTTTTTTATGTCAACGTGTTACCAAGGGGCTCACCACGTAAGACTGATGTAAAGTTCTACAGTTGTTTAACAAATAAAGTAAATGTGAGATTTTTTTTGTCTAATGACAAATGCTTTTTAATGCTTTCTGCTTTTGGTACAATTTAGAAAATAAAAAAATACATAAAACATAAAAGTGACAGGATTTTTTTGCTTTGGAGAAAGTGATCCACGCACGACTCAGGTTTTTAAATCCAAGCACCTTGAAAATAAACAGGCCCTTTTTTATTGTCTTGCTTTTATCATTTTTTTTTCACTTCATGCTAAATAGTGCTAGCTTCACCGCGTGTGTGTTAGAGGAGCCCAGTCTGTCATGTCAATCAAAGATCTCAGGTAGGAAACTGCATTGTAAATGTTCATGTGTGGATGTGACTCTAATAAAGGATCAAAACGACGCTGGTTCACAGCCTTGTCCACGTAGTACGTTACTGAGTGGCTGCTGTTACTGAGGAGAACACTAGGGGCAGTGTGGGGCACATCTGTGGACCTGACCAGGGCTCAGTGTTACACATCACTGCAGTAGGACGACAATGTTTGGTCTAATCGATGCTAACTGTCGGAGCTCACAGTGGGCTAACTGTCGGAGTTAGCAGTGGGCTAACTGTCGGAGCTAGCAGTGGGCTAACTGTCATAGCTAGCTCGATGCTAACTGTCGGAGCTAGCAGTGGGCTAACTGTCGGAGCTAGCAGTGGGCTAGCTGCTGCTGCACAACATGGATCAGCGGTGATTTGGTTTGCGGAGCGTTCTTATATCACAGGAGCTGAGGCAGAGTGACAGCTGCCAGCAGGGAGGCGACAAAAACCCAGTTCACAGTTTGGCATTGACTCATAATTTAGTGGCTGGGGGGGGGGGGGGAGGGGGTGGGGGGTGAGGGGGGTTGTGTACGTAGCGCCGTGTGGGCTGCTTGTTGTTTTGACTTTTGCAACAATTATGTGACATTTTGTGCAATTATCTCAGGCTCTAAATCACCATAAAAGGAAGCTTTTCTGTTGTTTGTTTGTTTCTTTCACCTCTTGAACGTCAGGAATCGAGTGTGGAGGTGAGTGCTGATTGTTGAAATGGCAGACTTAATGGCACACATTAAAAACCAGGACAGGAAAAGCAAGATTGATTTATATTCCACGCCACATTTATCCTCACGAGGCGTCGCACAATCCTGAAAACATTTGCTGATTATTTTATTATTTTATTATTTTTCGACTTCACTGTTAATAAATACAGTGTTTTTTATCTTAAATGAAAAGACAAAGTCCTCAGTGTTGGTGTCGTTAACTGTTCCATTAATGTGTGAGGAGATGATGTCTCCCCTCTCTCCCCTCCCTCACCTCTCTCTCTCACTCTCCTTCTCCCTCTCTGTCTCTCTACCACTTTCCTGATTTATTTTTATTATTAAGTGCAGAGAAACACGCTGCTGTGTTTTCCATTTGTCTGTGACAGCGGCGGTGGAACCGGCAGCCCTACAGCTGCGTGTGGTCCTCTCACTGTGCAGCAGCTTCTCACTGTTCCACTATCTATTGCTCAGGGAACGACTCGCCCTTTGTCAAACATTGATTCAGAAGTAGGCCAGGAGCCGAGGGGCCGGGAGCCGCGAGGCTCCCACCGAGGAGAATCACTCGGCCCCTGGAAACGGAGCCAGAACACTGTCAGCAGATTCAGGGTGAAACTGCTAACTGACTATTTGTGATTGTCAAGTCAAAAGTAATTTTCCCCACATCCGAGGAAATTTCAGCAGGGCATGATGCAACGGGATGAAAGATGGTTGTCTGTGGATCAAATATATATTTTTCATCAGCACGTTTACAAACACACACATGACAAATTCACAGACTAAATATTTCACTTCTTCCTCAAATGTGTGCTCAGTTGTTGGAAGTGCCGTTTTTACGTTGCATTTCGACCCCTGGGGTATTCCTCTGAGGGGGACATCAGCGTCTCTCGTCGCTGTCGTCCGTGTGGACAGACGTGGTTGTTTTCACGTTGAACCTCTGGAGCCGCGGCCGTACCTGCGAGTGCAAAAGTGACTTCCCAAACTCCTAAAGTCGACGGGGACGGCGTTCTCTGCTCGCCTCTTTCTCTCCCCCGGCCTCTTTTGTCTTGTGCCCAACTTCAAATGTGCAGATTTGTAGCCCGTGAGCGACTTAGATCCAGTCCCGTTGAGGTGAAAAATCCAATTAACCTGCAGCTCCAGCTGCCTTCATTATAATCCCTTCCCATAATTATGAAATTACCAGATGCAGGATTTCAACTGAAAAAAAAACGGCTGAGAGGAAAAAGATGTTCCTCCTCTCGAAATTACCAGATGCAGGATTTCAACTGAAAAAAAAAACGGATGAGAGGAAAAAGATGAAATATATGGTTCCTCCTCTCTTCCTCCTCCTCTCTTCCTCCTCTCTTCTTCCTCCTCTCGTCCTCCTCTCTTCCACGAGGGCAGCTAAATCTTCAGACTGGTTTTTAGGGTGAGACCCACCAAAGACCTGCTAATCACAAGGAGAAAGTTTCTCTATGGAACATTTAAGTTTGAAATATTTGAAATAGTTAGAAATGTATATCATGATTGTTGAAATTTTTACTGGACATTTTTGTCCAAAACCACGCAGTCCAGACACAGGAATACTACAGTACTGTGTAGTATTGTTGTAGTACTGACTCATTGATTCAGTTTGTTTTTTAGGGATTTGAACCCTGGACATTTTCACCAGTGTAGGATTAATACAATTCAATTTAATTCATTTTTATCTATTTATTTAAACATTTAAACTAAGCTTTTTTAAATAATTAAATCAGTTCTTTTTTTTAATCTACATCTGATAAAAAAAAAACAAAACGGTAGGACTGTAGGACGGTAGGACCAAACCCAGCAGTGATCAGGTGAGGGAGGGGTGGACCAGTTCACCAGACAAACAGTAGGGGGGTGTATATCACCTGTTTTTGACTAAATTGTTTATATTTAATTAAAGTAATCATCAGCCCTGTCGTTGTTTTTATTTGTATTTTTATTTCTTGTTTTTACTGCAGCCCACTTTCCTCCCCTCATCACTCGTTACAACACGTTGCCATGAGGCAGCACGGGGCCTTAGCGGTGGGATGAGTTGCATCGTTTAGGTTTCTGTGGGCCCATATAGACAACACCCACTCACACCTCACCCTGTGACGGCCAACACTCAGCCACGCTGCTGCGATCCCACCAAACCAGCCTCAGTGTCGTGACTGAACTTCATGCATTTCCTGCCACCAATATATTTATATATATACAGTATATATGTATTGTATATATATATATTATATACAGTATATATATATTATATATATACTGTATATGTATATATATATATACTGTATATATATATATATATATAATATATATATATATATACTGCATAAATGTGTACTTTTTGTCTGACAGATGTATGTATGTAAAATATATATATATGTGTATAGATATATTACAGTGTGTTCATCAAAACTGCCTTGATCTGCCTGTGTATGATTCAGTGAATTAACTGAATATGTTCCATATTTGTCCCAGATAATATGGGACAAATATCCACATTCACTTGATTCAGTGAATTCTAAAGACTTCAATAGTTATTGATCTTTGTTGTCGATGCCTGGTGGAAGTGCCTTGCTCAGGTGCAGCAGTCGTCCACACCAGCAGGTGAACGGACTCCCTGTGCAGCCACGCTGCCGTGTTTGTACCGGATCAGTCCAGGGAAAACACTTGTAACCTTGAGTGAAGGAGGGCCGTGCAAATGAATATTGACTGGACGTTTCCTTGCTGTTGGCAAAGTTGCGAGGCAGCCACAAAAACAAGATAGGAAATATATTATGATTGTTTCAGTGGTGGCCTATTAAGATTCAGAGCAGGTCTTTTACTGAGGAACCTTGTCATGCTAATTCTGGCCGAGTGCTCCCACCGGGTCCTGGATAATAGAGCACGTGCACGTGCACGTCTCCGTTAACAGTTTTACAGTTTTACAGTTTCATCCAGGATCTTTCGTCATTTTACTCTGGTTGTCTTTGTGTTGCCAGCGTCTTGTCTGTGTTACAGTTTGTCAACTTTACGCAGGAAAGAGTCTCCCTTGAGTGAAAGGGTTAAAAACACTTCACTGTTTAAATGATCAGTTTATCCTGAGTGAAGACATGAAATCCAATTTGATGTCGTTTTATCATAATGAGAAGAAATCAGTTATCTTTTCCTGATTTGTCGTTTTATCATAATGAGAAGAAATCAATTATCCTGTACTGATTCGTGGCATCAGTTACAGTGTATTCACTGCTTTATTGGTTCACACCTGATTTGAAAATATGCATTCAGTTAAATTCCTCTTTAATTCATTTTTTTTCTGAGCCTAACGTTATAACAAATAACAAC